GCGGAAGGCGGGGAGAGTACCCAGGTGGCTCGCGTAAGGCCACGGTGTTCCGAAATGTTGTCCCAAAGGCCCAGACTGTGGAAAGGAAGAGGAGTAGTCCTCTGGGGTAGTGACCAAGGACACAGTCGTGTGGTGAGGAAGTCCCAGAGGACCGTGGGACTTAGTGGTCGGGCCTGTGGGCCTCGATCCAGTGGCAGTGTTGGCAAACACGGCTAGGGGCAGAAAGGGACTTAGTGGGGACTGACAGAGGGATATTGGGGAAGGTTATTCCCCTTATCAGTGGGCATCCTAAGGATGCTAAGGAGTGGATCTGAGATGACCACTCATGGATGGTTTGCCTAGTCTTGGAGAGCCAAGACTGTGATACAAGTAGTATTGGAATACCAAAGTGGCAAAGGTGATTGGGCATGGCCTTAGCGTAACAGGCTGCCATGTTGGTGGTGCTTTTGAGTGTTAGTCATGGGATTGGACACACGGAGCACTTGGACCAAGTGCAACTGTTGAGTGGCATGGATGCCATTCTCGGGGCTAGCAAGTCCTAAGTCCTAAATAGGACTTATGGAAGTTGTGAATGAGACTCCTCCAAGTGGTCGAAGGTGTGGTTAAGTGACTAAAGTAGAATGGAAAATTTAATCCCTTACATGTGTGTTCCTTGAGGGGGGGTGGGGGGGAAAATATGGGGGGTTCCAAATGTATAATAGAGATAGTGGGTAGGTTGGGCATGGCTGACTAGCTTAAGGCATAGTCTAACTCCCATTTGTGTGTTTATCCTTGTTTTGCATCTGACTTGGGTTTAAGCCCAAGTTCCATTCCATGCTAATTAATGGAGTACCCATATTCTCATGTTAGGCCACCCGTATGTTGAAATAGCATTAGACTTTGTTTGGCTCTGTTTTGCATGTTGGTGCTGGATGCTCTAGGACTATTCCAAGTCGCTCGTACTCCTATCCCTTTGCTCCTTGGGCTAAACGCTCAAGAGTCACTCCGTGCTTTGGTTCCTTTGCTCCTTAGTTCCATGTTTAAGAGTTTGGCTCCGTTATTTCATTTAGTGGCCTAGGGCCCTAAAACTTAGGTTCTACACTACTATCCTTTAGACACGTGGCATGTGGCATGTGGCATATGACATGTGCCATATGGAGGGTTGAGGTTCCACTTTGTGGTTATCCTATAGTAAAACACATAAGATAAAGGGTAAAAACCACGTGTGCTATATTTGGTATTAAAGGATGAGTCTCAGCAAGTATTATCCAATGAGATTGGTCAACTAATCTCATTGCATATGCAGAGATGAAAACGATAATCCAAGTGGGTACACGTTTGGGTGCAAAGACTTCGCATTTGTTAATTAGGTATGGATTTGGTTACTATTTTTTTACCATATTATGTGAGCTTGCTCTTGGGCTCATAAGATGGATGTGAGATGTTCCATTTACACGAGTTTGTGCTTGGCCTCGTGAGTGAAGCACATTAGCACGAGTTTGCGCTTGGGCTCGTAAATGAGGCACATTAGCACAAGGTTGCACTTGGGCTCGTGGGTGAAGCACATTAACACAAGTTTGCGCTTGGGCTCGTAAGTGAGGCACATTAGCACGAGTTTGCACTTGGGCTCGTGAGTGAGGCACATTAGCACAAGTTGCACTTGGGCTCATGAGTAAGGCACATTAGCAACTTGAGCTTACACTTTGAGTTGGCAGAATTGATATTAGCCTATCTGTGGTTACCATGAGTTGAACCATATACCATAGGTAAAATAAACTTTCCTAGGTTTGTTATGAGTGGCAAATAGGCTAGTCTATAGTTGTTTAGCACGACACTAGTGGATCCTTCCTAGGCATAATTATAAGTGGATCAATCAAAACTGTAGGGACTAGTCTATTGGTTCAAATAATTATTGCCATGCTCTTTCATAAACTTTTCTTAGATTGGACTGAAGGTAGTGCGAACACAAATTTGAGGTTTGGTCAAAGATAAAGCCAAAAAGAGAGTCCTAAGCGACAAAGGATCAAACACGTAAATTATTTTTTCTTCTTGGAGAGATGATTTATAATAAGGTGTGACTTGGGTTTTTCTCCATTGTTTTTAAACATATGGCATGTGGTATATGGAAGGTTAAAGCTTTGCTCTATAATTATTCTATGGTAAACCACTATAAAGTAAATAGTGAAAACCACATATACTACAATATTGGATTTGTAAAAAAGCTTAAAATAGCTATGAATAGATAAAAAAAAATTTAAAAATAAAGATCTCAAGTGACCAATTAGATGCTGAAGTGGTTGTAAGAAAAAGAAAAATATATTTTTTGAATGTAAGGATTCTTAAGATATAGCATAGAAAGAAATTTATATATCTAATAAGCAATAACAACTAAAAGAAGTTAAGTGAGCTAGTAAAAAATCTATACAAAAAATGTTGTAAGAATGAAAGAAGCAACATTCAAGGAAAAAAAAGACATAAGAAAAATAGAAATTAATATAAAGGAAAATTTAACTTCCAAAATAAAATATTCCAATCCTTGCCAAGCTTGTTACTAATATTGTCCTAATTGAATTTGAAATTATGAGATAAATTTAAATAACTATGATAGTTTAAGTTTTTGTCTGGCTCAAGAATGACGTTTACAAGAGAATAAGCCATATGCCTCCATAAAGAGTACAGGAGACAAAAGAGCTAAATTTCATGAAAACCATAACAAAATTTAATGTATATCACTTTAGTTGAAAAACCACTAATTGGAGGTGGTGAACTCTATTATGCTATAACTACCATTGCTATGTAAAAGCTCAATAGAAAAAACTTTTGAGTTAATAAAGATGTTGAATAAATCAGTATTAAAGCTATACTTATTAAGTAAAAAAAAAGTAATCCCTTTTGTGTTTATGACATAAAATTGAATTAAGAGTAGTTTTGAACATATTATCATAGGTAGGTGTACATAGCTTCTTTTATTGAATATAATATTATAATAAATTTTTTTGTCAAATTCAAATTATTGAAACTTTTTGTTGAACATTTTGTACTAGAATTTATGTTCTCAAAATTTTCTGCATTTTTGGATTACTTCTAAACTTTAGAGTTTAGATTATTTTTTGCTATTTATATCATGAACTAAAATATATTAGTCTATATTTTGAACTTTTTATTTAATTAAGCCAAGATTTTCAAGTTCTCTTAATTTATTGTTAAGATTCTATGAATGAAGCACGCTTAAAATTCTTAATATATGATATTTATGAAAGAAGACTGAGATTAAATTTCTGAAGAACAAGAAAAGCTTCAAAGAACATTTCTGAGGTTTTTCATTATCCATAACAACATAATGCTAGCCGTCCCTCAGCATACCACCATCAGAAAAGCTTTTGTCTATGTATTGCTGAGAGTAGTGACAGGTATTTTGCTGGCTCCTATTCGACTACAACATGGTTGATGAAGCACTTTGGTTAGAAAAACCTATAAAAGAAGTAAACAGATTAGAGCTTTAGAAATGTGAAGTCATCATAGGTATTACAGCATCCCTTGCAGATAAGCAGGATTGACATCCCGTGCACTTCACCCACAATAGATCACTCCCAGTATCAACAATATTTTTCAGAGTTTGGCTATGATTTTCCAATTGTCTTTCCATATAGTAAGAACTGCAATCTCAAATGATGAAAACAAGTATCAAAAAAGTGAAAGAAACAGTGCTCAAGAGAAGTATAGCCTATATATCCCTTGGGCTCGTTTGCCATTGTCCTCGAGAACATGCCAAGGCCTCTCTTTCCAGTTTGCTTGCTTGATCCCTGCAACTTGGAGAACCTGTGCTTGAGTTTGAAGCACCATTCACGCCATGAAGAAAAAGGACCAAAACACAAAGTCTCAGAAGAACAATCAGGCAATGCTTCATTTAAAACAAACTCCTTTCCTTTATAATCCTTATTAGTCCCCAAAACAAGGATTTCTAACATACTAGTTTTATTGATCTACAAATGATGGAGAGGCTCTAAACTAAAAATGGAACCCTTTCTTCTCATCGTCCTTGTCCTTGTGCTTTTAATCTTCATGATTTATAGACTTCTTTCTACAGATGTTGATATTGATGTTGATGTTGTTGTTGTTATTCTTGTTGCTCCTCTTGTGCTTGTGAGACCCATGGACTGGAGGACCTCCATCTTCATGATCATGGTCTCCATCCTCATGATCATGATCATCCATCTCAGGAGGATGCATTAGAGAACTGGATGCTGGTGCAATACTATTGTTCAAAGACAAGAGCTCCCTTCTACCCAAAGAAGAAGAAGAAGACACAGCTATCTGGAAAGTGGCAAAGGCGAAAACTAGAAACAACTTTCATTATTGTGGTAGTGATTAATGGAGCTCAATCAACTCTTGCTGAATAATCTTTAGACCTTGCAGGCCTTATATATTATGTTATATTCCAGCATGCATTGCCAAGTGGTTGAATGCTTAATGCATTCACCCATTAATATTATAAACATGTAATGTCAGTATGGCCAAGCGGTCTAACGTGACAGACTTGCCTCTCTAGGGTGCGGGTTCAAATCCCAATTCTGACATGAATATGTTTTAGCTTTATACTTATTCACATTCAAGAACAAGAAAACGTTAACTAAATCATAACGTTTTATCTAGAAACCAAAATAATTTGCACGGATCTATCACTTCAAAGATAAAAAGCAGTGAAATCAAGTAAACAAACAAACGTCTAAAACACTTAAAAGACAGCAAGAAGATAGAATCATGAGCATTTTGAGATTCATCTACTCCTTCCATGTCTCATTCTCGATCCCAAGGCATAGATTTGCTCCTTTAGGACCGCAAATGCCTCCACTTCCAAAATGTGGTTTCTTCTTTCCAAATCCCCAGTCAAGGCATTTGGTGTTGGAAAGGAAGTTCTCCACAATCGAGAGAACCCTAGAAAGGTTTAAAGGTAAAAAAGTTCTTCCTTCACTGCTGGGAGTAAGACGGCGCTCTTAGGCATCATCCAATCTCTTTGGGGTATGATACCTGGTAAATGCTGCGCTACGTGCGCTCATCACTACATTGACCCCATAAACCCTAGAGCTCCTAGGGCGGCGATGGCGGCAGTGGCGGGGCTCTACCGCCGCGTTCTTCCTCTTCCGGGCATCGATTTCACCTGTCGCGAGGGCAAGGTAAGGCGCCGTGATCAGCGTTTGATCGCGATCGATGCGTATCTCTCGCGCAGGAAATATTTCGCGAGGCTCTCGAGGATGGAACCATGGAGGGATTCTTCAAGCTGATCGCGCATTTCCAGACGCAGGCTGAGCCGGCATTTTGTGGCCTTGCCTCTTTGTCCATGGTGCTCAACTCGCTGTCCATCGATCCAGGAAGAAAATGGAAAGGTACACAGTTTGTTCTTTCTTTCTTTGCCACCTCCATAGATATTTTTCTTTCTTCCACCTTACAAGCTTTCTTTGCAGGACCGTGGAGATGGTTTGATGAATCGATGCTGGATTGCTGCGAGCCGCTGGAGAAAGTGAAGACTGATGGAATCTCTTTTGCCAAAGTTACGTGCTTGGGTGAGTGTTCCGGTGCAAGAGTGGAAGCAGTTCGAGCCAGCGAGAGCTCGCTGGAAGATTTCCGCAGCGTTGTGAAGAAATGTTGCTCGTCGGAGGACGAGCACTTGATTGCATCATACAACCGGCAGCCTTTGAAGCAGGTACTTTGTTTGTGGTCTTCGTTGCAACAGTTAAAACAGCTTAGAATTGACTGGAACTTTTTTTTCTTTGAGACTGGCACTGGACATTTCTCACCGATCGGTGGCTACCACGAGCGAAGAGACATGGCTTTGATTCTGGACGTGGCAAGATTCAAATATCCTCCACACTGGGTGCCATTGAACGTGCTGTGGGACGCTGTAAACACCGTGGACGTATCAACTGGAAAATCGAGAGGGTAAGACGAGTATTGCTTATTTTTTCTCCTCTCATGCACAACTTCATCCTGCAGGTTCATGGTTGTTACAAAGCGAAGCGAACCACCTTCACTCTTGTTTACTTCGGTGAGTGAACATTAAATTCATTTGCTGATCAAGAATCGCGTAAAACTTGTTACTCTCTTGCAGTCTTGCAAAGTCGAGAACTGGAGGGATGTTTCTAGATTTCTCAGCCAGGAACTCCGTGTAGTTGTGCGCAATGCAAAGGTGACAAGTGTCGAGGATGTCTTCTCCGCTATTCTCGAAACCTTTCCGGGCAAGGTAACCGGGTTTGTGAAATGGATAGTGGAGGTGAGGAGATCGAACGATGAATCTGGCAAACTGGACAACGATGAAATGCAGCGATTGACTCTTAAGGTCGGTTCATTTGACAGCAAAACTGATCATCTGCAACTTTTCTATTTCTCCTGTCTTGTAGACAAACGTACTAAATCAGCTACGGAGCACAGATATGTACAAGCGGCTGGCTGGATGGCTCAAGTCGACCCCGTCGTGCCCGTGCGCACTGTCTGAAAAGAGTCTCACAGACGAAGTTGGCGAGGCATCGTGCCAAGGAAAGAGCCTGCTGTGTGGCGGACTGCATAAATCCAAGAGCTGTGCGAGCTGCGTGAGCTGCAAGAGAATGACAAGGACCACCGACGGCCAGGGTGCTGGCGTTCTTATCGGCGATGGCGGGGTCAAGGATGGCAACGTGCAAGTGATAGTCCCAACTGGTTCGTGCGAATTACACCCGACGCCCGTCGATGTTGTGACTGTACTCCTGCTCGCGCAGCCCAGCGAGACGTGGTCAGAGATCCCCAATTCGGAAGTGAGATTGGAGTTTGTCAACTTGGGTGCAACAGACAAGCTTCCAGATTTGCTTCAACTGGAGGTAGCGGAATGGCTTCCTAGATCTTTGGGGCTAATTTTCTCTCCTTCTCCAGGTTGTACACCTGCAGAGGCAGCTGCGAGTGCTCAACTGTAGCGACGAATGAACTGGGGAAAAGAAAACGAGAAAGAACTCCAAGCGAGAAACCATGAAACTCTTATGAACTTTGAACTTTCCTCCCTGCAGTGCCTACAGTGAGCTCCTTCCTTGCTGTGTTAACAAAACTGGAACTACGAACTATCTGCCAGACCTCTTTAAAGAAGTTTTAAAGTACGAGCTTGTGAATCGGGTTGGCTCTGAGGTCCACTCCGAAGAGCCGTGTCCCTCCCGAGACAGCCGCTTCCTCTTCGTCGTCCTCATCAGAAGACGAGTGATGCGACGAAAGGGTGAGCATTTCATTCGATCTGCTGCTCGCATTGACTGCAGTCGCTGGTGCTGGTGTTGCAGGCGAGACCGGAAAATGCGAGGACAAGTGCTGCTGCTGCTGCTGCTCGTGCTGCTGATCGAAAGCTTCGTCCCCGGGAAGCGGGGCGAAAGCCGCTCGACCGGAAGTCGGCCTCTTGCGACAATTGATGTAGAGTTCGTGACGAGCGCCTCGCTCAAAGGAGATGATGTCCCCAGCCTGGAGATCTTTATCCTTGACGAAACGTATCCATCCCTTGGTGAGGACATAGCTCTGGCTGCTACTCCAGTAAGAGTAGCGGAACCACCACAGCTCTCGACTTACAACGTCCTGGAAGGAGAGGAGGCGGCCTTTCTTTCGCAGGCAGGGATCCAGTGGGAACCACCTCTCGGCGTGCTGCTTGGGAATGACCAACCTGTTGAGCTTTCCAACATCGCTGGGAGTGACAACTTTGTAGAAGAGGTGCTCGTGAGCTGCTGCCCCTCCTCCGGTTGCTGGAGATCTCGCTTGATCATGGTACGTGTGCTGTGGTGATTTTAATGGATTCAACTTATCAGATTGGTGGTGATGCCAATTAGAGGCGTGCTGCTGCTGCTGCTGCTGGATCGAGTGAAACTCACCACCACTGGCGAAGCTCATCCTGGAGAGTAAGCTTTCCTGACGACTCTTTTCTTTCAAAGCCTGGAGATTGCTAAAGAGCTGCTGCTGTTGCTGCTGGACAGTGTAAGCCGGAGGAGGAGGAGAGAGGTGGAGCTGCTGCTGGTAGTGGTGGAGTCCATAAAAGGAGCGCTGCTGCTGGAGCGAGGAAGAATCATACAAGCAAGCATCGTGCTCGTGATCCTGGGCCGCCGGTAACACCATCCCTCCACACTTTTGCCTCTTTCCTTCTCTCGCAGACGCTAACCCCCAGTTCAATGCAAACAGGCCCATTGCGCGCTTCTCTCCTTTCTCTCGCGACTCTCTCGGCCGACACGACTGGACGACTCAGCAGCACTGCATCGATCGAGATCTCTCTCTCTCGAGGAGAGAGAGCAAAGAGAGAAAAAGAACGATAGAACAGAAAAAGAGGAGCGAGACTCTCTCTCGTGTGCACAGCTTCCTCGTAAGTAATCTTGCTGCTAGTTTGCGCGACACATTTGAATGAATGAATGACGCTTTGAGTTTGGAGCCAGGTAGGAAAAGAAGCGCTCAAGGGGAGCACTGGCCGACACGCACGACACCGCTACTCCCACACCAACACATTGGTACTTGTCTGTCCCTCCTCCCTCCTCTCCATCCACCATCGCCTTTTATATTGCCGGTTAGACAGGCACTGGAAGATGAAAGGAACGCTCGCTCGCTTCGCTCACTCTTAAGAACACGAGAACACACAGCACTGATGATGATGAACGAAGCAAAGCCAAAAAAAAAAGCGAGGAAGAAGGCGAAGAAGAACGAGGACGAAGACGTGATTTGCGTCGTTGAATACGTATTGCTTTGTAAGGCGGCACTGCAAATAAATAGTATTTGTATTCATTCATTCATTCATGTTGGTTTGTTTGTTGTCTCCTCGCTTAAATTTCTCTCTCTGTTTTTGACAGTCTTTTTTACGCGTAGAAAACATTGAATAAAAGTGGAAAGGATTTTTCCCCTGGTGTCAGCTGCGAAAAAAAATGGTTTTTTTTTGCGGAAGGAAGATTTAAAAAGCGAGAAAGAATATATGGAAATGGATGGATGAGTGAGTGAATGAATGAGCTCAGCTTATCAGTTGCTCATAACGCTACATTCTCACAGGCTTTAAAGCGCGCTGTGTTTGTATACACATTAATGGATTTGCTCCCTGCCTGGCGATGGCTGCTGTGGCTGTGCTGTGTGATTAAATTCTAAAATATACCACCCAGTGTACAGAGGATTTCAATCGATCGCGCCCCCCAGCCAGGGATTAAAAATCTTTCTTTTTCTTGTTTGTTCTTTGCCTCTGTCTTGCTCGCTCACGGGCCGTCCCGTTTGGAGGAGAAACGAGCGAGCTTTGTGCGTGAATTTGGGGCCATACTTATCGCTCGATCATGCCATACGTTGTTTTCTACGCTGGCGAGAGATGCATGACTGGGCTTTCCTGGCAACAAATGCGCGAGGTCAACGGGGATTTCGCCCTTCCACGGGAAAGATTCATCACAGCAAAAACAGAGGAAGATAAGCATTAATGTGGAGTTTTGTGTGATCAATTCCATTCAATCAGGGCTTCGATCGACCAATTTCCATCCGAACCTTGTCCAATTCCCTCTGGATTTTAAGGGCGAGAAGGCTGCCGCTGTTGCTGCGCGAATTCATTGCGAAAAATGCTCCTTGTCTCTTGTCAACTTGTCACCGCAGCAAGACATTTTTGGGCGCGGGAAGCTCAACGCGAGGCACGCCAAACGGACAAAAGCCCACATTGATTCGCCCATTTGGGTCGTATTGGGTTGTCTTAATTTCTCAAATGGAGGCAGGCACGATGGCGATCGATCGATGGGAAGCTAGCTTATTTACTTTTAAGTCTCGTCGGGATTAGCAACGCGAGCGCGAGGAGAGAGGGAGTGGCTTTCACACATCTGGAGTGGCAGTAGCTTCATAAAAAGGTGCGTAGTGTCTTATAAGCATACTTGGGTGGGTTTAGCTCTCCTCTCTCTCTCTCTCTCTCTCGCTGTGTTTTTTATTTCTTTCTTTCGTATCTTTTGGAAGTAAGAACAGCAAATCTGTTCCATATCCCCAGGTAAAACCTCTCCTATAAGCTATACGCTACGACAGTATAGCTACTTACACACTGGATTATCAATCCCTCGCCGGCTTCGTGCTACTTGTGATAGCGAAAGCCGATCGAGATCACTGCTTATGCATGGATTTTGTTTTGATTTGGCCTACCGAAGTCAGCTTGATTTTTTCGATCTTTTGCAAAGCAGGCATGCGAGTTCGATGGCCTTGAGTTAGTTCCTTGAGTGTTTATCCAATTTCACGAGCTTGAGCTTGCATAAATCTGGTTTTTTTTGGAAGTTCTTCTCTGGATCCATCTTAGATCATCTCAGTCAAAGACTTCTCAAATTGGTCCACGCTTTCTCGCTCTGGTCGTTGGGATGTTGAGATGAGTCCATTTCATTCATCATCAGCGAGCAGCTTCTGCCGAAAAGAACCGAGAGAGAAAAACCGAAACTAAGCTTGGAGAAATCACTCCACCTATCTGCGTGTGTGCGAGTGTGTGGTAGTTTTCAGTAGGCGTCCACAGCCTAGGCGCTGCCAAGCGAAACGAGTCAAACTCCGTCTTGAATGATAAGCCTACTCCTTGCGGTGGTATAACTGGTTTGTTGCTTGGATTTTCATTTGGGCGATGGTGGCTGTTTGGAGGCATTTGGATGGAGCCATCGTCCTCGTCTCTCGTCTCGTTCGCGTTCGTCCACCTACATAATCTCTTTTTTACTCGTTTTCTCGTTGGGAAGGAAGCTATAGTTACTTCGGAAAGAAAAACTGTAGAAAAATCTTTCTCACTGCTTGGTTTCTCGTGTGTAGTGCGACTGCGACTCGAGGAATGGGCGAGCTGGAGCTTTCACCACTTGATGAACTTCTCTGTCGAACTAGGTATCATCACACACCACCACAACGCACACCACAGACAAAACTTAAGAACTCGGTTGTTTTCTCCTTGCCTCAAACATTTAAGCAGGCCACTCATACGATGGAGATGTCTTGGCAGAAGCAGTAGTGTAGCAGTCAAATATATCGCACTGGTAAGCAGTTTCTTCCTCAGTCAAGGTCTCTCGTATCATCAAGTTCTCATCCATCATCAAGTTCCCCAAAACTTTTATAACTTTCCACTTCTTCCAGCTTGGTATGCTTTCCAAAACCATCATTCTGGGGAGTGATGATTCCGATTCAACCTTTGCTCCTCCTCGGTCTCCCACGTACTCGTGTTGCTCTCTCGATCGACTGATCCTTGATGGTTGAAACAAGGAGAGGATTCGCAGGAAGGTCCGTCCTGGCCGTGCTTTAAAAGATTTCCATGCCTCGGACGTACTTACTTGGAGGAATGAATGCTCTATGCAGGCAGGGGCAAGCAAACAAGGATCATTTTGGCACATGAAGTGCGTTTAGCTTTAACTCCGGTTGCCAGATCCTCCGAGAATCCTCCAAAGAAAGAGGTAAAAAAGAGTTTTTTTTCTTTTCCTAGGCAGGAAAAAGCGAGTTATTCTTCCTTTTTCAGAAGGAAAAAAATAAAATGGAGAGAATAATTTCACTCAGTTGTTCGTGTGGCAGATCGTCCCATTCATGGCCTCTGTACTTGCTCGCCTATCACGGCTGTTCAAACTCTGCCTTGCTGCTCAGATACGGTATAAATACGGGGCTGGCTGCCTGGCGGACACTGTATCAGGTGCGGACATGGATTGGATGTCTAACAAGACAAAAACGTATACACTACGGTCAGTCTGAAGGATTTGGTTTTTTCTTTTTCCGATGATCTTATCCTCAGCTAAACTCCAAACTTTTCTCGCATGAACATACGAGATCTTTGCGAAAACTTGAGCTTTTCTTGTAAAATCTCTCTAACTCAAGCCCTTTCTTTTCATTGCAGGAGGAGGGTTCAAAGATTTTGCGAGTACTTTGCCTACGTACCAAGTTGAAACACTCGAAAAACAGGAGGGGAGGCGTTTGAGACAAGTAAGTGAAGTTATGACCCTTAAGTAGTGCGTGCGTGCGGCGCTTGTTTGTTTGTTTTTGCTTGATTTCACTTGATCGATCATAGCTTTTCTCCTGGTTGAGTGTTGCATTATATCCCGCCATGATCGTCTTAAGCTAACCACAGTACTTCCCCTACCTCTCTAGAGAGCTAAGCCAGGTTTGCTCGTTTCACTTGAATGTAACTCCAGCTTTGCTTGCAGTGCCTGGTTTGAGAGCTTTAATATTATCCCGTCATGATCGTCTCTAGCTAAGAAATCACAGTACTTGTCCTAGAGCTCCTCGAACTTCCTTCTAAGCTGGAGAGAGAGAGAGAGAGAGAGAGAACTCTAACACTCTTCTTTCCATAAGAGAGCTGCTTAAAGCTTGGAAGAGAACACACCACCACCACCACCACCACCTGGTTCTAGCTATCTATGATCTATCGCTCCTGCCTGGGATAATGGATGCGAATCCAGAAATCTAGCAGTCCTGGGTTTGTGCCTATGCAGTAGCCTCCCAACAAAGTCCCCCCAGTCAGTCAGTCACTCACTCACACAAACAAAGCTCCTTGGAAAACTATTTGTTTGGTGTACTGTCTGGAGTGTCCATGTGTTTGCTCTTGGCTGTGCCTCTTTTGCCTGTGATCAGACTGCGCTTTGAAAGCCTCTTTTTGGATGGAAACTTGGACGAGTTTGGAGTGCGTGATCGTTTGAGAATCACTTGTTTGGTGGTGTCCCATGTGAAAATGTGGGGTCTTCTTCCATCTCTGAGCTGATACTTACAACCTGAGAGCTCTCTGAAGAGCTTCTCTCAGTTTTCCTTTTGCAAAAATATCCTTTTCCGAAAAAACAATTGCTTTTCTTGCATGGAGATGCCTTCTCTGAGCGGATGTTGTCCGAGTGCTCAGCTTTTTCCTAACTTCCCGTAAGCGCTGTTCTTCCAGTCGGCTTATAGTTCTCTCCAGGAACAGCAAGCTTTTTAAGTGGAACTTTGGTTCGACTTAATCAACCTGCGATGAGTGGAAGCCCCAGAGCTTGGATCAGTGTGTGTGTGTGTGAGTGAGTGAGAGAGAGAGAGAGAGAGAGAAAGAGAGTGAGTGTGAGTGAGATTGAGAGAGATACCCCTGGCTTCTCTCAATACTATGCTGTCCCTCTCCGCTAGAAAATCTAAGAGGTCTCCTCACTCTCTCTATCGCTGCTCTTGCTTGCTATACCTCTCCTCTCTCTCTCTCTCTCGATCTTCTTCTTCTTCTTCCTCTGAGTAGCAATGTTTCAAACTCACAGTGACCTTCTACACGGGCCTGTGTATATAATCATCGTCTCTTTCTCTTTCTCTCCTTTTCTTTGTTGCCTTCTTCTTCTTTGTCTTCCATCTCTCTTTCGCTTTTCCAGGCAGTGAAAGTGGCCCTCTTCTGATGAATACCGCCAATTCTTTCGACGATCAACCATGAAAACTCGCTCTCTCCTTCTCTCCCTCTGGGATTAAGATTGGCTTTTTCTTTTCTAGATTTCGTAGAATGATTACCCGGCCGAGTGGTATACGTTTGGAACCTCTCCAGCTGAATTCCACTCACGCTTGAAAACCAAGTTCGTCTAGTGCTAGAACTTTTGGTTGCTTCATCTCTACTGCTGCTTCCCTGCCTCACAGCAGTATACTTCCTTCCTAGGTAGAGAAGCTCTCCTCTTTGGATTGTTTTCTTCCTCTCTCCTCGATGGAATTCTCAAGAGATTTTGGTTATGTTCCAGCAGCAGGAGGCGATCACGAGAGAATTTTTTCGTATCAGCATCATCACTCGGAGGAGGAGGAGCATGATCACCACAGCCGCCTGAGAGTGTTCTTGCCGAGCTGCGCCGCCGACTCATACGTTTCTTCCTCCTCTACTGCCGCCGCCGCTGCTTCCACGGCCGCGCACAACGATTCCTCCTCGGGTTGGCAGACTATGCTCGTCCACAGCCGGCCGCAACAGCAGCTCCTCAACATCTTTCCCGATCACCACGACGATCACTGCGACCAGCTTGGAGCAGCAGCAGCAGTGGAGATGGAGCACAATCAAATGCGTTTCCACAGCAACGTGGAAACGATCCAAAGCTACCATGGTTTCCAGCACCACCACCAGGTCTACGATCACCACTACGCTCCTCCGGACGAATCGATCTATCACAACAACAGCAGCAGCAGCACGACGAGCAGCACCACCGTGAGCTATCACCGCGATCAATCATCTCACGAGGAGGAGCTCCTGATCAAGCCGGGAGGAACATATGGTCAAGGAGGGGCTCATCACCAAGCTCACCACTTCTCGTCCCTGTATCAATACGAGCATCTCTTCTACAAGGTGGTGACTCCCAGCGATGTCGGCAAGCTCAATCGATTAGTGATCCCCAAGCAGCACGCCGAGCGCTGCTTCCCGCTGGATCCATCGCTCCGCAAGAAGGGACGCTTCCTCTCCTTCCAGGAGTCCTTCACTGGGAAAGTGTGGTGGTTCCGCTACTCGTACTGGAACAGCAGCCAGAGCTACGTCTTCACCAAAGGATGGATTCGCTTCGTCAAGGAGAACAAGCTCAAGGCCGGAGACATCGTCTCGTTTGAGAGAGGATCGTCCAGGCACGAGAATTTCTACATCAGTTGTAGGAAGCGGCCGAGAACTCCATCGGATGATCCGGGCACTGTCTCTACTCCTGCCGATCCCGCGCTTCTCCAGATGCTGTCATCGAGCCAGCAAGATCATGACGATCACTCCCCGCAAAAGTACGAGTTTTTCCACAAGGAGGAAGATCACGAAGAGGACGAGGAGATGGACGTGGATCGAGAGGAGGACGAGGACGACAATGTCACGGGCTCTACATCTTCGTCCCAGCAACACCAGCAAGCCATCAAGCTCTTCTCCTCGTCTTCCTCGTCGTCGACGCGATTGTTTGGAGTGGATCTGGCCGCCATGTCCACCACATACTGCTGTTCTTCAGCGGAATCCACCTGATCCACATCCAAAGGTGGGATTTTGAGACAATGGGTCGGTGGATCGATGCATTGGGTCTCGTGGGTCGTGGCTCAATTCCCCGCTAGCGTCTGGAGGGAGCCGAATTGCAGCGACAGAGATTCGAGAATGTTGGTGTTTTTCTTTGCTGTTTATGGAGAACTCCGTTGGTTGTTCTTGGCTTGTCTTGGTTTTGGGCTCCAATTCCAGCGTCCAATTCCTTTCTCGTTTTCGTGCTTGTCAATGGAGAGGAATTGAATTGAATGAGCGGCCATTATGCTCCAGATGTGTTGCGCGGAGGAATAGAATATTTCATACTATGCACGTGGAATCACGAATTGATTCCTTCTTCTCCTTCCTTTCGCCCATCCCATGGAAGGAAGAAACTTAAAGACGCGCTTAATCTCTCTCTCTCTCTCTCTCGCCAGTAGCGCTAGTAGTATAGTACGTGAGAGCAGAATCATTCCTTTATTCTCCATAGCCAGCGACACATCATCGTATCCAATAGGGAAAATTTGAAAGGGGAGCTCTCATGGCGATGGCGACGTCAAAACTTACGGCATAGTTTCACAGCGCGAGATATCTTCTATCAGATTTGCGACTTGGCGAGAGCCAGCTCTTCATCGTTTCTTTCTATTCTCCTCTCAATCTCTCATCCCGCGGGAGATGAGAAGAAAAGATGTCTGTCGAGCCATAAATCTGTGCCAGCACCAAGAACAAAGAATCAGTCAGCGAGAAGCAACACATTTAGTACTTAACTGTAAGAGCAGCAGCCAAATTCAAAGCTCTACTCCTCCACCGCCATGTCCTAGACAGCAACAAGTAGCAGCATTTCGACGACGACAATTATCCCTTGCTCCAAGTTGCACAACACAGTTCGTCCTCCTAGTTTAGCTTCTGGTAATGTGTCGCTCGTCGGTCTCGAGAGCTAGAAAGAAAGAAAGATGGTTAGACGAATGGAGAGAAATCTTAGCATCTTGCGCCTACCTCAAGTCGGACCGGCCTAGCTCGAGCGAGGAGAAGACCTCGCTATCATAGCTCTGCGACTGCTACACTACTACTCGTCTTTCGTTCTTTCTTTCCTGCTCGCACACTGGCCTCTGACTCCACAAAGTAGAGCGCTCCAAGTGCTGCTGTGTGCTTTGTTTGCTGCCATGCAATGCAATGCATGCTCTTACGAGAGGAGTCGAGCTTTTAACCGGTGGCGTAAGCTCCATTGAGTAAGTGTCCAAGGAAGAGAGCTCGAGCCACCTACGGAAACGCAAAAGTTCGCTTAGCGAGCGAGAGAGAATAAACAACGAAGAAAAGGAGAGCGCTCTTCTTTACCTCGAGATAACACTGGAGGAGACGAAGGCGGAGGTGTTGTACTAGTCGTGGTAGTCGATTCGGAAGACAGGATATGATTGAAGGTCGTGATGCGTGCACGTAGCTATATACTTTTGCTGCCGGTACGTTCTTCTCGCTCTTTTCCCCGCTCGCCATTCATATTTATTCAGAGAGTCGCGTGTGCCTTTGGAGGAGACCTCTTCTCTTCACTTCCTGTTTAGAACCCCACCACCGATGCAAAGCCCCCGTGTGTAGAGCTAGAAAAGTGAGAAAAGCAAAAAAGTGCTGCTCGCCCTGTAAGTAGCTGCCTGGCTCTACACTAATTCTCAAGCTTGCTTGCCTGCCTGCCTGCCTGCCTCTTGTTGGAGTGTGGAAATGAGCCGAGTAGCTAGCTCGTAACTCAACTTAGTATTAACTGGTGTTCTCGATTGCTTGCTTCGTCTTGTTCTCTGTGGAGATGAAGAGTCCAACGAGCAAGTAAAGTAGCGTAGCTTCGCAATCATGGCAACTGAGAGCTCTAACTTTCAATCCACCCCATTGCACTTGCACTGACACAAACCGAATAAACTCTCGTCCCCAAAAATCACCAGGCTTGCTTTTGTGCAACAAACAAACTGGAACCATGGAGCACGCGAAAAGCATCCTGAATCATGTCGGCTTTAGACCCGGGTTTCGCAAGCAAAGAAAGTGCAACCTGAGCCACACTGTCTGGTCGTGTTGTATAGTTCTCTGAGCACTCCCCCAAAGTTTTTAGTTCTTCTCTCCTCCCCTTTTTATTACTTCCGCTGTTCTTCCTCCTTGTCTGTAAGTATAGTATATTTTTCCTCGGCCTTGCCTTACCCTGCCTGCCAATCTGAGCTATCTACAGAGGTGCCCCCCAAGATCTCTTGAGCAAATCCAAGCTCCCGGAAGTCAAGGACCGCAGACGACCGTTGACGAACTCCTGGACTTAAAAAACCTGTGAAGAGTTTCCACTGTTGGTGCACGTGACGTGAACACGTATCGTAACTTGAGCCACTTTGTTCCGTAAGCTAAGAGCTACTTAGCGTGCCTGCCTGCCGACAGAAGTCCAAGTAGCTAAAAGCCATTTGGTCGCTTCTCATCCCCTTCTCTTTAGATCACTTAAAAGAATCCCGAAAAACTGGCCCTGCTTGATCCTTGAGCTCTTCCACCCAGCAGACTTTCCTGTGTAGCTTAAGCAGTAGCCTGCCCTGCTCGAACGGAAAACGGACGTGCGAGAAAAAAAAATCCCCCCTCCCGGAACCCCTGCTGTGGCCGTAGTAAGTTGCAAAGTACGTCCAAGACCTGTCCACATTGTCCTCACCTGACTTTCAACACCGCAGCTAGCTAAGCTCTCATCCATCATGGCTACTGCCTGCCCTTTTGTGGCTCCTCTCATTTCTGCAGGTAAAACTTAAAAATCAGCCGCATAGCCACGAATCATCACCTCACTTGCCTTCTCTCGCATCGCTCTGAATCCGTCCGTTCCCCCCAGCCCCACTTCTCCCTCCCCCTCTCTCTAGTATAAACTCATCAGCACCACGCTGCCATTAAGAAAATCAGTCAGAGACGCCAAGCAAAAGCGACCACCACACACACACTATACCTCCACTGACTAACTGCATTTTGGCCATCCCCGCGCTCTTCTCATGATCACTCACTTCGCTATCGCCGCTTCCAGCATAACTCTGACCATTTCCATCGATGGCCAAGATCTTCCTCTCCCACTTGCTGCTTCCTGCAAAGCCAGTATGACGACGAATCAGACCGCCTTTCTGTGAGAAGAAAAAAGAAAAGCAAGTTCTTTCGATCTTACTTACGACTGAAAGTGCTTTGCTAGTTCTCCTTGCGAATCGGTTCGACTGTAACGCGGAACGCCTGAGCAAGAGTTGCGTAACATACTGAGACATCACGATTGGTAAAACAAGAAACTGGAGCGCTTTTGAGTACCTGGATCCAGCACAGCGTACTATATCTTCGCCATAGTAACCGTAGCTGCAATCCAAACGTGGATCGCGATCCAGTACACAATAAGTGACAACCGGGCAACAGGCTGCCTCATAAGAAGTCTGCCAGCCGAAATACTGCCAGGAAAAGCGGAAAGCTCAGCAAAAAAATATTAGACAATTTGTTCCATACCTTAATTCATCAACCCGGTCACCAATGTGATGGCTAGCTTTGGGAAGGAACCGTATCATTCCAAGAGACTTAAAGGCGTTTCCTAAATGTCCTTAGATGTTAGAAAATATGATATGAGGACTTTTCAAAGCTTCGTTACCTTTCTCCTCAATTTCCATAGTCTGTCCGGCATCCATATCTATAGCAACTTGGTCTCCAACGACCATTTTCTTCTGTGCTCGTATATGTGGAGCACTCGGTACAGTCATATGCTTTGGTTGTTCCTGCAAACAATAATCAATATCCAGCTTACAAATTTCAACTGCAACAGAGTACGTACCAGCTCCTCGATCTCGCTCACGGAAGGTACCGGCAAAAACTTGTCTTTCAATTTTTGCAACTCCGAATCCTTTGTCTTGATGCTAAGTTGAAGGTTCTCGTTTTCATGCAGTAACCGTTGAACTTGAGCATCTAGCAAATCAACAATTTCTTTCGGTTCGGATAGTAGCTGCTCCCCTCGTTGTCCAACAGCAGCCTTTGCAGTCAAAGCTTTCAGACTTCTTTCCAACTGCATCGAGTTTTCGGTTCTCTGCTTCAAGTCGTTTTGAAGAATTTCGACTTTCTGATTAAGAGCAGTATGTTCAGCATGGCGGCTGTCCAGATTCATCTGAAGTCTTTCAATCTCAGCAAGCATCGCTTCGCACTGCTGTTGCAGTTCCTTGAACTTGTTCACAGTAAATGTGAGCTTTCCAACAGCCTTGTTGCGTGACGTTTCCATGTTGTCCATTGCCAAGTGATTCTGCTCTATCAGAGTCTCGAGTTCTTCAACTCGGTCTGTAAGTTCTTCGAGCTGCTTGAATTTCAAGTCACTCTCACGCCGCAGCGACTCGATTTCTGGGAACAGACACAGTCACTAACAAGCACGAGAGCTATCTGAAATACTAAAAAGTACCTCGATCTTTGGAGGATATTTCCAGCTGATATGAAAGCAAATCCTGCTCCTTTGTCTCTAAAGCTTCTGTCGTTTCCTTTCTCCGAGATGCGATTTCCGTTAGAATTTCATGTAAAAGCTGCTTAATGATGGACGCGCTCTCAAGAATAACAGCAAGCTCAATATCTTGAGCACCTTTCATGAGCTCGAAGCCTGTCTTGAACATTTCTGACGTGTTCATTGAAGCTGGTTTAAAAAGACGAACCTGCAAAATAATCAAGAAAATAACCACATGAAGCAATTACACGACTTAGCTCGTACCTTGTCTTCGTGATCATCCCAGCTTGATGGTTTCTTTGAAAACACCTTGGTATCCCTGTCAAGCCAAAGGAGCTGCTGAAGTGATGCTAACAACATATCCACATCTGTCAAAGTCGCCAACTTCTTCGCAAAATTTTCCGATTGAAGCGCAAGGATTCTTGTAAGATCTTCCGTTGCAGAAGACAGCTCTTTCTGAAGCCTGTTGTTTTTCTCTTCCATGGTGATCAAAGAGGCTGTTAAACGAGTTTCACTCGCCTCGAACTCCTTTAATCTTGCGGCTTCCCGTTCCAACTCCAGCCATGCGTGTCTCTTAGACTCCTCCAGCAGCTGTTTCTCTTCAAGTGTTTCGGCACATTTTCGTCTCAGAACGTTTAACTCCGCAGCCAACTTCTTCTCCCTGGCACACGATTCTTGAAGTAAAGTCTTGCAGGAATTTATTTCCTCTTGCTTCGAGCATGCTCCAATTTCCATCCCTAGAATAGTAGCTTTCAGGGCTTCCTGCTTTTCAACCGAGGACTTCTGGATGCTCTCCACTTGCAAGAGCTTTTCTTTCACAGACGCTTCCAAAGCACTAAGCTGCTTGTTCGAACGTTCAAGTTCTTCCGACTTCTGAGCTAGCAGCTGCTTTAAGTCATCCCGCTGCTGAGCCACGCCTTTCCCTTTCTTAACCGCGAGGCCCAGCTTTTCTCTCACTGTTGCCAGTCTTTGCTCTGATTCCGCCATCCCTCGCTGGAAACGATCCATTGCAGAATCCAGCTCCTCTTTTATCTGCTTCACTTCGAGAACTACGTGGTTCTTTTGGTCTTGTAAGTTCTTCATCTCCTCTGTTCTGCTCGAAAGCTCAGCTTGCAGCTCCAACTTTGAGTCCTCCAAAAGTTTCTGCTGCAGTAGAAGTTCCTCGTTCGTCTTAACGCTCGCAGCGAGCGTAGCAATGAGAGTGCTGACGCAGTGATCGAGTTCCGTAAATTCCTCACTTTCTGCAGTAGTGCTCGTGGCCATCTCGTCCAACAAAACGCTTGACAGCCTCACCCGCAAGCCATGCAGCTTCGCTTCAAATTCGCCAACCTTCATTTCCATCGACTGCCGGTCCGTTTTTTCTTGAGAAAGGATTCTCTCGAGCTTGCTGTATTCTGATCTTGACGTTTCCAAAGTTTGAAGTGCATTGTCCTTCTCCAACGTTAGGCTTTTCAGCTCTTCCTTCAGAAGCGCAATCTTCTCTTTCGATTTCATCACCTCTGTCTCTGCACCCGATGCGCGTTCTCGAGTCTGTAAGAACTCGCCAGCGAACAAGTTCCCCTTTACGGCAGGGTTAAGTTTTTCGAAGTCCACCGGGACGATCCAAGCGGTGGAAATGATGTCCCCTATTTTCTGTATGCAAGCGTTCTTTTCCTCGCAAGACGTTATGAGTAACTTTTGCTGCTTTTCGCAATCAGCTAGCTGCTGCTTGCATGCCGAACAAGAAACTTCCAGATCAGCCACTGTCTGCTTCAACGCGTCGCGTTCCTCAGTATGCCGCTTACCGCTGCTTGCAGCAATCTGTGCGTCTTTTTCCGCCCTAAGAGCCACTTCTTTGGACTTCTCTAGCTGGAACTGGAGCTGCTCTCGAACTAAGTTCGCGGTAGCAAGATCCTCCTGCATGACCCGTACTGTCTCAAGTATCTCGGCCTCTTGTTTGGCCATCGACTGAGCGGCGAAGTCTCGCTCCAGTTTCACAGAAGTAAGTGTCTCGTCAAGATTGGCGACTCGCCGTCTCAATTCACCACATTCTTTCGAAAGCTCGTCAAACTTATTCTTCGCTTCTTCCTGGCACGTTTCTAGTTGGAGTCGCAGCTGTTCACCAAGTAGATTGGCTTGAGAAAGCTCGTCCAATAGACTCTGTTCTCGTTCCAGCAAACGAGTGACTTCCGCTTTAGTCTGATTTGCTGTCACCACGTCCGACTGCTGTTCGAGTCGCAAAGAAGTAAGTTCTTCGTTGAGATCGATTTGCTGTGAACGGAGCCTTTGTAGCTCCTCTTCACTCTTCTTAACCATGTCGATCAGTGCAAGAACACAAGTTTCCACGGAGGTGTTTTCGCCAGAGTCTTCAATCACATTCGCCACCAATCTTTTCACGTTCTCGGTCTGATCCGCAAGCTTCTTCTCCAACAAGCCAAAACCTGACTGTAGCTTCAAGTTGTCCTCGTCTAATCGTTCGGCATACGTCTCATGCAAAGAAGCCAACTCCTCTAGCTCGCGGACAAACTTTTCCTCGTGAGAAGTCAACCGACTATCCAAAGTGCATAAAGTGTCCAGGTAGCCGTCCTCAAGCCGTCCAAGCCTTCCAAATGCTATATGAAGTCTAGATTCCAAGACGTCCTTGCCAAGAGCTTCCTTCTCACTGGAGTTGTCAAGTTGTTGTTCCAGACTCCGAATCTGCTCTTCAAGAAACCTGCTTCTGTTTTCGTATGAAGATTTTAAACCTGAGTTTTCGTCTTGCAGGTCCTCCACACGTTTCCTCAGGTCTTCTATCATATCAGACTTGGCCGTAAGTTCTTTGCTTGAAGACTTCTGAAGCGCCAGGAGCTGATCTTTCAAAGCTTCGAGTTCTACCGTCATCTCCTTCTGTGATTCTTCCAACGTAACATGCGTAGTCCGAAGTTCAGCTTCACCAACCTTGAGATCTTGCAGAGATGTAAGCTGATCCAAGAGACGAGAATTCTCCGCAACTAGCGCATCAACCTTTCCCCGAATAATTTTTTCCTGCTCCTCCGTGCTCTCAACACGTT